CCCTCCGCTCAAATCACTGCCGCAGACGTGGACGGTTGCCACTACCTCCACGCCGTCTGCAGTGAAGTTCTCCGTGTGTGGGCGCCTGTAGCGCTTACGATGCGGATAGCTGCGCACAATACCACTATCGGTGACCAATTCGTGCCCAAGAACACAATGGTGATTGTGGCTCCACGCGCCATCAACTTGTCGACAAAGTTATGGGGACCAGATGCCAAAGAGTTTAACCCTGACCGCTGGATGAAGGAAGGGCAGGCGAACAAGGGTGGTGCGGACTCCAACTACAGCTTTTTGACATTCTTGCACGGCCCCAGGAGCTGTATTGGACTCAGTTTTTCGAGGGCTGAATTTGCGTGTTTGCTTGCCGCGTGGGTTGGCAGGTTCGAGACGAGCTTTGAGAACGACGATTACGTGCTGGAGATCAAGGGCGGTGTTACCTCGAAGCCGAAGGGTGGGTTGTGTGTTAAGTTGAATGAGATCAAGGATTGGTGAAGCATGCTGAGCAGATGGGGCTCATGATACCATTTTGGATGGATATCTGCAAGGGCATGATGGTAGATCGTAGCTGATGATAAACCGGGAGTTGTTTGGCTCTCCAGTGTCCATCATGTTTCGCTATACTATCGCCTCGATTGTTCCATTTCGACAAGCATAATGTCTTTGAAACAACATAGACCTACGTGGATAAACGAAGAGCCAAACGGATGTGAACAGTCAGGACTCATGCACATCTGGACCGGCTTCTGTGAGTTCTGCTCGTAACACAAAGCATGAACCACTGTACAACCCACGATACCAAAAGTCATGCGCTAATGATCAGCAACCCTCCGCTCTCACCTTTACTCACGAAAAGGGCCGAGATGGAGGTGTCAACAAAGATTAACCAAGTGGGCCTGCAAACGATTGGGGTTTGCGGAGGAAAACGGCGTTGTGAGATGCGGAGACTGTTCGATAAGTGTTTGGTGCTGCTTTCAAAGCATGCGTTTCGAGTGTTATCGGGTGTTTCATACAGATGGTTCGGATGGAACTCGGCCGGGTTGTGGCGGAAGTCGAGTGGTGGGGGAGGGGTATCTGCCGAAGACGCAATGCCATCATGGTGACTTTTCGCCATTGAAACCCAAACACTACAGCAAAATAGGCAGGCCAGACATATTGATGATGCAGCAGTAATTCCGCAGTAGATAGCTACAACAAAACCTCCCACTCTCTCTTCTTCTCATTCTACACTTGTCCCTCGATCCCCTCCAAAACGGTATCCACGATGTCTTCACACCACGCCAGCGAAGTGCCCATCCAGGAGGAGCCGCACAACATCAACAGACCAGCTCCAGGCGTGAGTTATCTCGCTCTCCTCCAGCCACGATGTTCTTCGCAAAGCTAAATCAATCATTCAGACCTCCTATTTCACACCCCTCCAAGAGCCTGTCGCCGGCACCGCCATCGTTAGCGATGACTCCGAGATTTCCTCTCTCCCCAAGCTCTTCAAGCCGCTCAAGCTGCGCGGTACGACGTTCCAGAACCGCATCATGCTATCCCCTCTCTGCCAATATTCCGCACAAGATGGCCACCAGACCATGTGGCACATGACCCATTTGGGTGGAATACTTCAGCGCGGACCCGGACTGACGTGCATTGAGGCGACCGCCGTCCAGCCCGAAGGCCGCATCACCCCAGAGGATGTTGGCATCTGGAAGGACAGCCAGATGGAGCCACTGAAGAAGATCGTCGAGTTCGCACACAGCCAGGGCCAGAAGATCATGATCCAACTCGCCCATGCCGGCCGGAAAGCCACCACCGTTGCGCCCTGGCTCAGCTCCGGTGAGGTCGCAGGCAAGGACCTAAACGGCTGGCCTGACGATGTATACGCCCCGTCCGCTATCCCTTGGAATGACGACCACGCGCACCCGAAGGAGATGACACTGGAGGATATCGAGAAGTTCAAGAGTGCGTTCAGGACGGCTGTGTACAGGAGCTTGGCGTGCGGATTCGACGCCATTGAGATCCACAACGCACACGGATACCTGTTGCACTCGTTCCTCTCGCCCGTCAGCAACACCAGGACGGACCAGTACGGCGGCAGCTTTGAAAATCGCACCAGGCTCACTGTCGAAGTCGTTGATCTCGTGCGTACCATCATCCCCAAGGAGATGCCTCTTTTCCTGCGCATCAGTGCCACCGACTGGCTCGAGGAGCAAAAAGATATCAAGGACAGCTGGAAGGTCGAGGATACCGTTCGCCTGGCTCCGGTTCTCGCCGAACACGGCGTGGATCTCCTCGACGTATCTTCTGGTGGTAACGACCCACGTCAACACCCTCACGTCGGTCCCGCATACCAGGCTCCCTTCGCCAAGGCTGTGAAGGAGAAGGTCGGCGACAAGATGGCCGTCGGAACCGTAGGCGCCATCAGCGACGCCAAGCTGGCGGAGAAGCAGCTCGAGGACGGGTTGGACCTTGTCGTCGTCGGAAGAGGGTTCCAGAAGAACCCTGGGTTGGTGTTCACGTGGGCGGATGAGCTGGGTGTCAAGGTTCAGATGCCCAACCAGATCCGGTGGGGATTCGGCGGACGTGGGAAGAAGGCCGGAAGGCCGGCCACGGATTTGTTTGAGCAGGGGAAGCTTTAAGGCAGTGGATGCAGGTGTGATACATATAGAGCGGCTGGATGCTCGTAGAAGATATATCTACAAGAGGTTAGAGTCGTGAATGAACGAGAACATACATCAATGTAAACATCACTTCTTGCACCCAGCAGATCTTGCCAACAACCGTTTGCTTGTCCCTAAATCAACTTCATATCGATGAACCCTTACCAGAACAGCCAGATATCAACCCCAGCTAGGCCTTTCTAGCCTCACGCTGGAAGTCCATCCCAGCAGATCCTCGCATTGAGGTATCGTACGCAGCGTGGAGAAGAAAAAATTGCGTTCGCTCCAAACCGCCTCCCTTCCGGTGACACTCGATGCTTTTACTCCGCTTCTTCCCCAGAATATCGTGAATCGAATGTGGTATCATGCAGTCAAAGAGAAGACACCAAAAAAAGACGAAAGAAAAAGAAAAGGGGGGGTGTTTGCAAACACAAATCACCTCCCCTAACACGCTCGGCTTGGTTCCCTGTCCCCTTCACACTTTCCGCTTTCGGTTCTTGTTTCTGTCCATGCTCGCGTCTTTGGAGAAATATAGGATCATCGACCGTACTCAGGATAGTCCTCTAAGGGCCCAGACGTAGCGGACATTCCCGGCGCTGCATTGATTGGTTTCACGACTGGTGGCTCGGACATGACAGGGATCTTCTCGTCGCTGCCGCTAATAGCGTGCGTGTACTTGTGCTGTCCGTTCGGCCGCGCTTGTGCGGCCGTGGGCGAGGAACTGCTGGTCGTAGACGCGGTTTGATGTCTGACATCGGCTGCCGCGAGTTCCGCCTTGGCTGGAGAATCTGGGGGTTCTACTACCGCTGTGGTGGCTGCGACGGAGCCTGAGCAAACGTTAGTGTATGTGGGTTTGCGTGACGAGTCGGCTGGCGGAGTTTTGGTTGAATGTGCCGGCAAGAAGCCAGGCGGAAAGAGGTGGACGAGTGAACATGAATGTACCTTGTCTGTCGGCTACCCTATCTTCTTTGCCCTCCGTAGACAGTCGCGCACGCGATTGGGGCTCGACCGCGGATGATGGCGCCGAGGAAGCTGTGTCCGCTGTCGCCCCCTCGTCTCTTTGCGCGAGCCGGTGCACTTAGTGGTTCTGTGTCTGCTGGAGATACGGGTGAGGGCTCGTTGTCTGAGACGGGTGCGGCGGCGGGGACTGCGGATATTGGCTTCTCGGTTGGGGGAGCGGGCTGGGCTGGAGTCGGGGCGGGCTTTTGCTGAGCAGCGGGCGTAGGTGTGGTCGTGGAAGACTGAGTGGTGCTCTTGGGCTTCTTGTTGCGGCGGAACATGCCCTTTAAGGCCTTCTTGACCGTGTCGAGCGCATCGGGAGCTGAGTGGTGGTCGTGTTAGTCGCTTGAGGAGAAGGTTGAGCACTCGGAGAATGAGCATATGGGGGGTATTGGTGATGGAGATTGGATCAGATCAGATCAGATAGGAGAACAACTACTTACGGACACCAGGCATTGTGATACACGCGCTGCACCGATGCGGAGAGGCAGGGATGTAGAGCTTCGCTTATGGTGAGGAGGCAGTGTTCAAGCGAGGAGAGCAGGTTATAGGCAGGCAGGCAGGCAGGCAGGCAGGCAGGTAGGTAGGAAGAGGCGCCTCACAAATGGGATCAAGCACGATTGGCGCGTGGGTTCCAAATACCCGTGTCGGTCGATGCTAAGGTCGGGGCTGTCAGCATCTGGCAGGAGCGACTGGGTCCTACTTCGACCGATGGCAGGTGCGAAGGCCGCTTATGGCCGTGCTTTGAACGATAGTGTGTATAAGTGATCCAGAAATAGTAGCAGGGGCTTGTGACCAGCTCAATTGGCAACCCAGCGCAGCGCAGCGCAGCTACGTCTGAACACACACTCCTCGGCCGACCGGCATCCACCTTGCGTCTCGAGTTGCTTCACAGTATCCGGGTGGTCTTGTTATAAGAGCACAACAACAAAGAGTCCAGTTTCCCTATCGCTTCCGTTTCCTAAACATACCTCCATCGGGGCATAATTCGTCGATCAGGGTCTCTGGCGTGCTTTTTCCCCAGCTGGAGCCAGGAACAAACGCGCGTCCGAACGGTTACTTCCGCTAGAACATCTACCACTTGCAGCAAGCAGCAAAGGCAAGGCGCTTCAGCTCTCGACGTGAACAGAATCACGAGTGCGAGGATGCTAAGAACGATGCTACCGACGGAGCGGCGGTGTCGCCTTTGCATGTCTCTGTTGTGTTCCTGGAGTCACTCTTGCGACTACAGACTTCGGTCAGTCTCGCATTCTGCTGTGGCCGCACCAGATCTTTATTGTAGATATATTTCTAAAATTTGGATTACCTAATTGTAGCTCGTCATGCGGTAACGGTGATGGCAGTCCAAGCACGACTCATGCAATGGTGGCCGAGTGGTCCAAGGCGGTAGATTTAAGTTATACTCGACAAACAACTCATACTCTACTGGGGAAACCCGCGCGCGTTCGAACCGCGTCCATTGCAATATTTTTGACTTTTTCTACTCTCTCCTCAGGCTCGGTCGCAATCTTGGTCTCCCCAGCCCTCTTCGTTCTTTACACCTCAAGAGATCAAGAATCAGGCGCGGGATTTCCCAACTCATTTTTTCTACGACTGAAACCACCGCATGCAAAATTATGGAAATACATGAACACACTGTCAGGAAGCGCTGGCGTAAAAAGACCAGAAAGCAGAAAAACAATATCCTCCTCGAAGCATGGCCTGACATGCCAGTCGCTCACAGACCTGATTTCCAAGACGGCACCAAAAGCACTTCAAACCGCTCAACGCAGACACCAACTGGTACGGTAGAAGCTCAATATCTGTGGCCCTGTATCAACTAGTAGGATCTACTCGAAGGGCAGCCGCACACAAGACCAGTCATTTTGGCGCACAATTGTGCTCTGGTTCAACGCGTAGTGTTCCGCGCTTTGTCTTTTCATGAGGGGCCTGCCTGTCGCAGCAAGCTCATTGAATTGCTTCCACGTGTGCGAATGGATCGTCGTCTGCGAATTCGAGACAAATCTCTTGAAAGATTAACCAGACTGCTCAGGATTGTTGCGACATTAAGCCTAGACTGTACAGTATGCTTCGACGCCGAGACACTAGACAATTCAGCCGGATTGACTTTTCGGCAGCCCTATTGCTGTGCCTCAGGCTCCTTTGGACGTCTGATTCATGAAGCTCGTCAGTTCGTTCACTGTAGTTGAGGGACGAAGAAACGAAGACATTGATGGAAATTGTATAATGTGACAATCGTGATAGGTTCGGTTTCATACGAGTCTTGGCCGCGGACGGGAAATCTCCGGGCCCAGCACCGATCACACTCGCTAACGAACTTTGACTGCTAGGGACAGGAACAAAGAAAGATCACAGCAGCCAGATTAGATGACGTCAATGGCCAGCACACGAGAGGAAAAAACACGTCGCAGACAGACAAGCCTCTACAGCGCAGCATGTCGCAACCAGAAAGAACACAACAGGTGGTTGTGGGCAACTGGTGTGCTCCAGTTGCCCACATAGGAAGGCGTACATACGTACATGTCATAGATCGGCAAGAGCACCTTGATGGTACGCTACGCTGTTCTAGGCCTAGCATGATAGAATGAAGAAGTTGCCCATCAAGGTAGCGGGCTGCCTCAACGGGCAGCAAAACCGACTCTCTTCCTCCCATAGTTGATGAACATCCAGCGGATCCCTACGCAAACCTACCAACCTGCAGGGAAATCAAGGGAGAGCCAGAATTGGTTCGGCACGGCTTTTGACTTTCCTGTACTACTCGCCGCCCTGCAGGACTTTTTTCTGATATTCCTTCAAATCTGTGGGACAGCCTCAGCTCAGCACATACCACTCCCTCGAATCTGAACCAACCACCATGAGAGAGATTGCGGACCTCTTATTTCTCGTCGCTCGCCAAGCCGCCGACGGTTCGGCAGCAGACGGCACTGCCCCAAACAACTCCGACACAACGAGCGATGATACCACAGCACCCTCGTGTGACACCGGCAACGAGTATGACGGTCGCATGGGCTTGCGAATAGCGGCCGTTTTCATCATTCTCGTCACTTCGTTCCTTGGTACCTGGTTTCCCATCTTCTCGTGGAGGCATAGGTCTACTGGCGTGCCAGAGTGGGCCTTCTTCATTGCGAAATACTTCGGTTCGGGAGTCATCATTACCACCGCCTTCATCCATGTGAGTGCCCTCATGTCTCAGAAGATCTCTTTCCTTGTACACATGACTAACATCCAGTAGCTTCTTTCTCCAGCTTACGAGGCTCTCACGAACGAATGCCTCACGGGGCCCATCACAGATTATGACTGGGTTGCCGGTATCGTCCTGATGACCATCTTCGTTTTGTTCTTCGTCGAACTGATGACGATGCGTTACGCCAAGTTTGGACACTCCCACGGCTACGAGACACCCCTCCTGGTAGCAGCGGACACGCCCACGCCCACGCTCATCCTCAGGGCGGTGACCTGGAGAGCGGCCCATATAAGGATGAAACCGAACTCGAGCTCGCAGGACGTCGAACTCAGAGCAACGCCAACTGCCCAACAGCACCACATGTCCCGGGGGTGACCACCTTGGTCATGCACGCGAGCACGTTGCTAACGAGGACGTATCCGAGAACTGGGCCGAGGCATCGCCACAAGGGGACAAGAACGCCATCCAGCCAGAATCGTATGCGGCTCAGATGACGGCCATTGCCATCCTCGAGTTCGGCGTCATCTTCCATTCCGTATTCATCGGGCTTACATTGGCTGTCGCCGGCTCAGAATTCGTGACCCTCTTCATCGTGATCATCTTCCACCAGTGCTTCGAGGGTCTTGGTCTGGGATCACGTCTTGCCTCCGTTCCCTGGCCGAAGTCCAAAAGATTCACGCCCTACATCCTCGGTACAGGATACTCTCTTGCGACACCCATTGCCCTCGCCATCGGGCTCGGTGTCCGTAACAGCTATCCACCCGAGAGTGCGACGACGCTCATCGTCAACGGCGTGTTCGACAGCATCAGTGCTGGCATTCTAATCTATACTGGGTTGGTTGAGCTCATGGCACATGAGTTTATGTTTTCTCCTTACATGCAGCGGGCGTCGATCAAGACGGTTCTTGGTGCCTTTTTCACCATGTGCGTGGGGGCAGCCCTCATGGCGTTGTTGGGCAAATGGGCCTGAACTGGCTCCGCTCTGTATATCGTGTTTTCTCTCTGTTCTGCCATTAGAAGGTATAATTTAGACGGCTGTAACACTGGGCGTTAGTGTCAGCATCATAAGCAGACCAATGTTTGGCAATAATTATATACATCATGTTGCGCGGATCAGCTGAGCTTCGCACCGGATCAGGCCTCCGGTTTCGAGTGTTTGCATGTCTCATCCTTCACCACAACACATGAACCTCTTTCATCTCACACACTCCACTCTTCCTCCACGAAAAGAAGACAAGGTCACGCCCTCAGATATACATCTGCACACATACTCATGCTTGTACAGGGCACAACCACGGAACGGAGTACTAGGAGAGGGGCCCGGAGTTAAGATGTACCGTATCTGCGGTAATTCCTCGCAAGCCAATCATGTTTCTGCGGATCGGTCTCACCACCTCGTGCCTATGTGCAGATGCAGATACACGGACCACAACTTCTACCGATTCCCGTCTTCACGCATATGCTAGGCGGCCTGCAGCTGTCGCTCCAATGTCTACGCCGGAGAATGAACGCTGTGCAAAATCCGTGCCTTGCCTTGGCTCCTAAAGACGTAGGTTCAAAACAGAAGACTACAAATACTCGTCTCCTCTGCGTAGGTCTTTGTCTCTCCTTTCAATCTTCTTCCCCGTCACAAACAACCGGATCGAGGCACGACAACTGGCAGTCATCTCGCGATAGCTCCCAACGCTGAAGGACGACCTCACTACATCCGGTTTACAAGCCAAGTCAATCCACACCAACCACACGCCGATCATGCCTCTTTCGCCCAGCATTCTCTTCACCTTCCTCTGGTCGCAGTTCTTCGTCACTCCTGCCTATCCCCGCAGCGATTGCACCGGCAAGACCATCATCGTGACGGGCGCCAATGTCGGTCTAGGGAAAGAGGCCGCGCGTCATTTTGTCCGTTTGGGTGTTGAGAAGTTGATCCTGGCCTGCCGCACTGTCGAGATGGGTGAGAAGGCCAAGAAAGAGATTGAGGAGTCAAGTGGCAGGAGGGGTGTTGTGGAGGTGTGGAGGCTGGATTTGCTCGATTACGAGAGCGTCCAAAGCTTCGCGCAGAGAGCGGAGGGCTTGAAGAGATTAGACGCTGTTGTGGAAAACGCTGGTGAGTCCTATTTCTTGCTCTCTGCTCCGGCATGCTCGCTCAATGTACTTCTCGTTCGAGCCTGGATGGACGGCTCCCGTTGCACTTTCTCCTCTTGCGGAGAACACAGACGGACGGATGCGCTGACGGGTTCAATTCAGGCATAGCGACCCGTAGCTTCAAGCTCGTCAACGGCCACGAAAGCACCATAGTCACCAACGTAATCTCGACCTTCCTCCTCGCCCTTCTCCTCCTCCCGACTCTCAAGCGTAACGCGCAGCAATACAACATCCAGCCCACCCTCACCATCGTGTCCTCCGAAGTACAATTCTTCGCTTCCTTCGACGAGCGTCACTCCAACCCCATCTTCTCCGCCCTCGACGATCCCAAATCGAACATGGAAGACCGTTACCAGGTCTCCAAGTTGCTTGAGGTACTAGTATGCCGAGAGTGGGCACGTCTGCACCCGCAGCCCGATTACCCCGTCGTCCTGAACTTCGTGAACCCGGGCTTCTGCCACTCAGAGCTGAGCCGCGAGATGTCTCAGGACTGGGGCATGTGGCTCATGAAGAAGACGTTGGCGAGAACGACGGAGGTCGGCAGTCGGACGTTGGTGCACGCGGCGCTGGCGGGACCTGATACGCATGGCGCTTACTTGAGCAACACCAAGATCACCAATCCAGCGAGCCTAGTGTTGGGGAACGAGGGACCGGGATTGCAGAGGAAGGTGTGGAAGGAATTGGAAGGTATTTTGGAGGAGATCCAACCTGGGGTTACGAGGAATCTGTAAAGAGCTTTCTCCGCTCTTTGTCTTTTCTTCTTTTGGTTGTGGGAGGACTGGCGCCGGTGTGGACTATCGTCTCTAGCCTTCTCCCATCTCTAAGGCTTATGAGACGTGCAAGCATTCGTGTAACGGGAGTAGACTATTCGGACCTTTGCAGACTCGGAGATACTGCTCCATGTGTTTGTTGAATGTAGCGTTGAAGAAGAACTACCAGAAGCAGGGCCACACGAGCGGAGGAAGAAAAAAAGGGGGAGGATGCAAAGGTAATTGACAGAAGTGCGAGCCGGACACTCGACTCGTGATTCGAAAGATTTGCTTGTTGGCGTTTTGCGGCCGGCTACTGAAAGGTCTGGTAAAGGGTAAGATTTCTGATAGGTTAGCCAGCCGCTGCGAAGCATTGTTGGTAGGTTTCA